CCGTGCTCAGCCCGCCGACGTTCGTCAGAAACCTGCCGTGGTGAGTTGTTCTTCCTCTTGGTGATTACCCCCCCTTCCCCGATTTGACGTGTGTGTCTGTGGTAGGGCTTCACGGGTGTTGGGAAGGAAGGTGGGCTTCAGTAAATGCTGCACCGGTATTGCGTTCATGGGGGGGTGCCGCAGCAGAGGCGTGGCCGCCAAAAGCTGTGTTCCGCCGTGAAAGGATAGGAAGACTGTTCAAAATTACTGCGTGCGCGGGTGTGCCCGATAACATGGCTGTTCGACCAATTGATGCTACTACGTGGGTACATCACTGGTGGTCCTTGCAAATTGTAGCTGTGTAGTAATAATACCTAAACGATGTATTATCGGTAGGTGAGTGGGCAATACATGATGCAGGCTCTGCCTGCATAAACATAGTGATGAAATGCTATTTTGCTATCATGGTGTACGCACAAATCTTGATGGTGGCACGCCTATAATTAAAAAATTTGAGCACCAGCGTGCACTTGACGAAACCGTGATGATGTTTGCACGAATTGATATCAATTCATCTTCCTCAGTGGATCAATGGGACATTTGTGCGATGCGTACGGCTTGTCGGCTCTGGCGCGATGTGGATCTCTATTTCCCGCTGGTGCGTGTCGTAACTCGCTGCGCGATTGCTCTCGAGTCCGCGTCAGAAGCATGTCAAACTTGCGCCGCTGATTGCGTGGGCGGAATTCGCACCAACGAAAAACCTCCGAACCGTTTCTTGTCTCTCGCAGGAAGATTATGTGCAAGTTGGAAACGTCGCTTAACGAGGAGTGCCAGATTACGAAGAGCCTGGGATTTTACTTGCAGTGCAACGCGAAGTCCAAGTCGACGTGAGTTTTGCCGTTGGGCAGTGCTTTTGTGTGTCTGCTTCGTAGAATACGCTTTCAACCTCGCTTCACCTGACGAATTGTTGCTCAATTTGTGACACAGCATGTGTTTCCAAGGGAACGTAATAGATTACTAGATATTGGATAAATGAATGCGCAACTCAGTATGATGCAGGTGGGAATAATCGGTACATATGTTGGAGCAGAGGAAATGCCATTATTTGTCCCAGTTAGCAACGCAAATGTTCTGAGATGTGCATCCTTGTTGCAATGCAATAAATACTGCATACACTATACAGTGTACTTCGGTGGTGTACAGTGCCTCTGTGCATGTTTTCTCTTCAGGTCTTGGTCGTGCAATGCGTCTGCAGAGCTGCGGTTGATAAACAATGCAGACACAGAGAAAACATTACAAAGAAGTGAGTTTGCCTAATTTCTTGATATCGTTTTTTTGGCAGTGAGTTTTATTTGTGAGGTTCGCCATCTACATGGCTATTAGTTGAATTGGTACTTGAGCTGAGAATGCCTTGCCAATGATTGTAATTCTAATAACGTTGACATATGTGTGCAAATACATGCAAATAGTTGGCACATAGCTCCTATGTGTGATGCCGTGTATGATAGTAGACATTAGGCCGTTACTACCTTGAATGCATTGTGTTTTTTTCAGAAATCCAAC